AGTCACTGAATCAATCCACCTCATAGGGGGCCTTCTCCTTCTGCACTGTCCCTCCACCCTAAGTTTCCATTCTAAAAACAACAGGCATTTTTCCATCAGTTGACATGAGTTCAAATTTTGACTGTATGGTTTTAAAACAATATAGTGAAAAATAAATTTCCCAGCTCCATGATTTTGTTCTCTGTGTGTGGGACATATCCAGAGCTTACCATTTGCCACCTTACAGACCTTATTGAGGATTGAATGTGATGGGAAAGAGGTTAGCACAGCATCCAACAGAGGCTTGTACAAAAATTATTCATAAATATTGTTTCTTACCTACCAATCTACTATTTTATTTGTTTCCCTTTCTCAGTCATCAGGTTCTATTTGGCTTATCCTTTTTTGATACCTTTAACCTTTTTAATACTCAATTCATTGTCATCTAGTGAGAACCAACACATAAATGACTCTTCAGTGGGTTCCAAGGAATAACATGCATAGGAGGAGACTGCCTGTCTTGCTCCTAAGAAGCTGCTGATAAATTTGAATCAGTAGAGAAGGCTAATCTTTGGATAAGTAGCACTATTCTCTATGGACTATATGCCACCAGAGCATCTATCACTTTCAGTTGGATTCAGTTTCTACCGCTTACATCATACCTTCTTCAGTTTTCCTCAGGATTATGTGGGAACCATCAAACTGCATTACTGTCTTCCACCTGCATCTTTATTTTATCCATCATCACTCTCCACAAGGTAGTATTTCTAAAATACAAAACTGCCTGGTTTTGAATTCTAGGCCTTTCTTTTGTTATCTATAAGACTTGGAGCAAGTTTATGCTGGAACACAAACCCTATGAATGAAAATTTTTCCCCCTACCTGGGAAGAATTAAATAAAAGCATATGTGTGTTAACACTTATAAATCCTGCAATAAATGTGAGCTGTCATTCTTTATTGTTTTTGCTATTTCAGCCCTTCTGTGATTTGGCAGACCCATGTGGGTAAGTAATGTTATAATAACGATAGTGAGACCTTTGTAGACATCTACCTAACTCTTCATCAAATCCCTTAAAGTTATATCCTATGATATGGATTCCCTAAACAGCATTCAACCCAAAATAAAAAATAATTAGGTTAGTAAGAGATTCAAAAGCACAATTAGGTCATTTACATAATGGCAGATAAAATTTCATCTAAAAAAGCTATTCTCCCAAGTTGCTTGAGGAGCACAAACTGAATATTCTATACTCTAAACATCCTTCCCTCTATCCCTCCTCCGAGTTCCAATTAAAATGCAATAATGCTTTCAAACTAGCAATTATACTAGCTGAATTTTTATTAAAAAATTTAAGATGTGTATGTTACATATGAGTTTTAAAAATATAGTCTCCCCCAAAATCCTGAAATTGTGTAAAGACTCTTACCTGACATTCTTTTAAACCACTTGGGTTTCTTGTCCCATATAATAAAGAGATAGTATGCAGGGACCCCAGTCAGAGTGATAACAAAGCCAATCCCTGTACTAAAGGGATCTGAGTAAAGAGAAAGGGCCACCATGAAGAAACATATGAAAGAAAACAATGCTGGGATAAACAGAGGCACCTGCAAAACAGCAAAGAAAGAATCACTTTCAACATAATTCTAGAGACAGCAGAGGGGCTCTTCTGTGAGTCTTCAATCATGTTATCACATGATATGCTTAAGTCCTGCAACCAGGTGACAACAATCTCCTTCCTTACCTTGGTAGCAAGTTCTCTTTAACGCAACAGAGAGAATGCATTAAAAACTACTCCTTTAGATTGTGTTTAAGTCTTTGGAGGCTAAAAAATGTAAGGAGAGGCTAGAATAGGGTGTTTCATTAGAGTTTTGTTTGAATCTTTTATTAGTTAAGTACCATTATGATTTATGCTTTTGATTTTAAGAGATTGGCTCCTTGATGATTATGATTAGAATCCACTTTAATGTGGAGTCAAGAGCACAGGCCGCTTGTTACATGTTAAATCCTTTCAGTGAATATTGATTTTCTGTAGGAGATTCACAATAAGAACTGACAGGAATAAAACAGGCCAACTCCTATTCAACTCCTAATAAAGATGTTTCCAGCATTAGGCAATGAATATAATTAGAACAAATTCTGACAACATTATCTGTTATTTTTGGTAGGTGAATAGACGGAGAGGTCAAATCATTCCCATAAATATCCAAGGGTGAAGAAGATGAGAAACATATTCTTCAACTTTCCTAAAAGGACACGTTTAGATATGGTAAATGAACATCTTATTAAACAGTAAACACATAGATCTTTCCATTCTCTATACATTTTACATTTTTATTCCCTTTAGAGCTGCTAATATAGAAAAGAAGACCTTGGGCAATGTAGTAAGTCATAACATTTAAGAACACAAAAGTGCAAAACATCCTTTCAAGAATTTTAATTAATGACAATTTCGTACCTGCCTCTTGCTTTTCTCTGCACAACTGTATACAGTACAAAGATTGATAGAATTCTTTGAACTTATCAAGGCAGTGGGCACATTCATGAAAAATCAACATAACAAACATCCTTTGAAACCATCTCTTTTCAAAAATGACACCAAGTTCAATACATCACATAAAAAAATAAGATGAACTAGTTTTTTTCCTAACTAAAATAAATCCCATATGAAGGAACCACTTGCAAGAGTTAAACGTTTTATTCCAGAGGATGTTACCCCCTGCCCAACCTTCCCATCATCAAGTTATGACAAAGGGAGGCACAGGTACCAGAGGAAAGATTTATGTAAACCCATCAAGACTGTGGAGGTTACCTTGAAAGGACGGTGCATATCTGGGCGTTTGTATCGAAGATAAATCAGCCCAGCAACTGCCAGCCCAATAAAAAGCCACCTGGCAAAACTGAGGAAATTCAAAAGACTGTAGAGGTCTCCAGAGAAGAGCATTATCATCGTCAAAGGGTACTGTGAGAAGGAGAAAAACAATCTAAGCTCAGTGAAGTAAAAGAACACCAGACTATAAGTAGAAACAAATAATAACACTACATTTATTATTATCTTTTTCAAATCATAATTTCTACCAAAGAACTGAAAATCTAGATTTGTCTCATCTCTTTTCCATATTCTGCTATTCTGATACCGTAATACAGCAGTAAAGTGTACAGTATGAGTACCATCTCCAGTACCACAACTACAAAAGGAATTTACATAGCTGCTTTAATTTTAGATCCCTTTCTATTTGAGAGAAGATAATTCGTTCACAAATAGAAAAAGATGTGAGATCCAATAACCCCAAATTTAAAGATTCTGAAACTTACATGGTTAGTGAATGACCAGTAACAAAGATTAAAGCAGCTATTGAGAGAATGGCATAGAATCAGGCAGTTTTCCTTTCTTGTACATATAATTGCTAAGAGTTGGAACTGACTTAAGGGCACCCAACAACAAGAACAAAGGTTAAAAGTGCATCCAGTTGGAAGAAGGCTTGACAAATGCTCTTGGCTGCACATTCATATGGAACACAGGCACTTCAGGTGAGTCTATTTGTTCCTGAGGCAAAATGCTGAGCTTGTCTTGTCCTCGTGAACTATCCTGAGGTACGGGCCATGTGTGACCCTCAAGACTATCAGAAAGAAGGAAGCACAGAGATAAGCATAGCAAGTCTTTGCAGCTGCACATGCCAAAACCACCAGGACTGATAGCTGTGGCTTAAAATGAAAGCCCTCTTTACTGAATAGCATTCTGTGTCTATAAGGGCCATTGAAGTCCAGATTCCAAAAAGAGAGTTTGTGTATTTTAAAAATAAAATTAAAAAAAAATTGAAGTAGATAAAATGAATAAAAAAAAATGGTCAATGCATTCTATGGTGATTGCAGATTTCAGTTGAGAAAAATGTGCTATAGAACTGTACACAGAAATAAATATAGCATTGCTGATGGGTATTTGAAGACTTTGGCACATTTTTGAAGGTCACATTTCACAAATACTTTTTCCTGAATAAAGAATTCTATAACTCAAATTTAAGTTTTGTGCTTTTATTTCTTCCCTTTAGGGCTGCTCTCAGATGTCTCACTCTTGATCAGGAAAATGCCATATTGTATAGAACGTCATTGATTCTTTGTACATTTCTTTTTAATGCATTTCATCATAGAAATCAAATGATGATGCATTTGGGTGTTTTTGTACTGGAGCTTTTAGCTCCATTTTCAATAAATGAAATTGGAACTTATTATTCTCCATCTTTTTTCTCTGAGGCTCTTTGCCAATGACAGGAGCCAGGTTAATCAGTGTCCTAAGACAGTACAAAGTCCAACAAAAGAGTAAGAAAAGTAATGCAGTTATTGCCCCAAAGCATCAAATACACATCAGAAATGCTCCTTGAAGGGAAGGGATAGAAAATAGCCCTGCCACCAAAATCTTCATCACACTACATATAAAGAAAAGCTTACAATTTAGGAATAAATGTAAAGCACTATCTACATTCTAGCTTAATTTCTTCACTGCTAAACCTATTGTTTGAGCTTATATCTAGATATACTTGTTAATGTGCATTACCAAAACAATAACAGCTGGCAGAGGAGTGTGCTTGCGGACATGAATCATGGAGAGGATTTCTGGAAGGTGACCCTCTCGAGATGCAACATAGAACAACCTGATGGGAGAAAGATGTTGGTGTTGTTGACTGTAAAATGGATCATAGCAAAGGGAAAAATCCAGAAATCCAAGAGAAAACACGTATTATATACATATGTCTAGTATTTCTTAGGTGGTGATTTATGTTGAAATATTCAGATAAGGGAGAAAAATATAATGATAAATCTCGCATGGAATTTTCTAAAATCTGCCAAAACAGTATGCTGTCCTTTGATGAAGAGCAATAGCAATGCCTCACTCACCGTAACTCTCCCTGCATATATATAGCTGATGATGCATTAATTTTTTAGATTTCCTCGTATTTCATCTATGTGTGTCAACCAAATAGATAGGTACACATAGAGGCACATAGGTACTTAAGTGTATACATGCATGTGCATACACACATACCAGGATATATAACTTTTATATTTTTCTGATTGTGTTTTAATCACTTTATATTATGGCAAAAGAGATTCTTATATCAATCAAGACAAATAGGATACAGATGATATGGTGGTGATTTCTGGTGTATCTTACTTTATTTTTCTCTTGTCACCTTTTGAGAAACAAAAGATTTTATCACCAGAGATAAAATGCTGTTGCTAGACCTTGTAGATGTACTATTAAAAAAATGCCAGCTTCCGAATAGGCTATGAGTAGACAGGCAGTGCCCTCTAATGGCCAGAATGAGGTATGTTCTTGGTAGTCTGCAGAAGATTTCAATCTGGCATGCTCCTTTAAAAACAACAGCTTTGCAAGCACTATTTCTTTTCTTTTTAAAGTTATCCTTGTCACATACAATCTCACAAACAGAGTTGTTGGGTTTTTTTCTGGAAATACTTGAACTCACTCACCTGGAGACAGCAAACACACCACCGTTCATGGAGCCAAAGCAGGAGAGGGCAACAAAAATCGGAACTGCTAATGAGAAATTTCCCAGCAGCCGCTCAGAAAAGGTCTAGTGAAAGACAGAACGAAGCAAATTAATGCTTTTCCAGAAAGTGAAATAAAATGAAACCATTTAGGCCAAACTCATTCTATGGTTTTCTATTAGCCTGGCAATACGTGTGTGTTTTATAATTCCTCTCTTTGGTTAGGGTCAGACCAGCTCTGCAGACAAAAATAAAAAAAAAAAAAGCAAGGACCATGGCATTGCTTTCTGCAAAAGTACAAGCAAAGGGCTAAACCAGTTCCTTCTCTCCACTTCCAAAACGTGATGATCTCTTCACCCATTCTTTGTCAACCAGCACATGTATCCTCTCTGCCTCTGGTAGGATGAAATAGCTCTATTGAGAAGTCTTACTTTTCTTGACAAAAATCTTTCTGTACATCACTTTCTCTTTAGCCTACAAGGCTGCACTTTTACAGTGAATACAAATGTACACTGAGAAGTGTTACATATGCTGCTTCACACAAGAAATCCCTTGTTAAGACATGAATAATGTGGAAAAGATGAGTTAATCACCTATGTATATAAGCAACTCAGAAAATCTTTTCCCCAGAAAAATCATACGAGCTGAATTTCTTTGCTGAGTTACTTCTTCCCTGTCAGCTCTCTGCATACACTACATACAGTTTATGGTTTCTGATAGAAAGGCATGCCACAAAATCCAGTCTAAGAAAATGGAATCAAAAAAGAAGTAAATTTTCTAAAACTTCCCACTATTCCATGTTATGCAGAACATGGCAAATTTCCATTAAAGATGCATTTCTCATATGGATATTCATATGTGTACTAATATATACATGTGTATGTATCTATCTATCTATTTCTATATAGACATGTACTCTTTAGTTGTTCATTTGTCCTTGACATAGCTGATACTAGGCAATTAATGGACTGCATTATGTCCAAAAGAAGAGTTGCTCTTTGTCTAGTAAGATGAGCTGACTGACCCCACATCAGTAAGGTTTGGACATTTGATTGTCTGATAAGATTTTCTGATAAGGCAGTGATTAAAGTTTCTCCTAATAGAGTGAACTCCTAAATAGGTTCACACAAAATGAGATAATGTGTTCCCTTTGAATGTTGCTGATATGAGATAATACTGATTCTTTTTACGAGAACTGCCATCCAAAGTTGGAAAGTTAATTTTTTATCCTTCATTGTTGTGAGGTCACAAATGAATGCACTCTTAATAGCTAAGTTTTCATACAAAATGCAAGTGTGTTTCACAAAACAAATGTCCTATATAAAATTTGAAGAAAAGAGATTTTTCTTCTCTTTGGGAGGAAAAAAAGACTTCTGGAGTCAAAGAGACATGAAGAAATGCTATAAAATTCTGTGTAGCCATTTCTTAGTGAGCTAAAGCTCCAGCAATATCTTTAGGACTGTGACAAATGCAGCATAACCTTTTTTTCTAGTTCTGAATAAACTAGCATTTTCTAAATGTCTTAATATCCCTGTTATAGTGTGTAGTGTGTTTAACTATTTAGCAAAAGTCTCCCATAAAGATGTACAGTGCTAGTAATAACGTAGTTGTTGTTGTGTACCATAGAATTGGAACCGACTCATTGCTGACTCTCTGGGCTTTTTCAGAAGCAGTAATAATAAGGGAAGAGACTGTTCATCCTTCTCCCACAGAGCAGCTGGTGGCCACAAACCAAGTGCCTTCAGGATTACAGCACAGCTGCTTGCTGCTCGGCCACCAGAGTTCCCAGACTGGGGGGTGAGGGTGGGAAGTGGGTCATTATGAGTCAGAATACACTTTATAGCAGTAGTTAGTATTTTGAGAGGAGGTTTTGTGGTTTTGTAGCATAGGGAGTTTCATTTTATGTGGTTAACCAAAATTGGTTCAAATCCACCAGCCATGCTAAGCAAGAAACAGCAGGCAGTTTGCTTCTATTAAGATGTACAGCTTCATAAACCCACTGGAGGGTTACTGTACGTCAAAAGCTATCCAACAAGGGTGGCTTGGGTTGTTAAGTTAGAATTTAAAAGGACAAACTAGGGTAAACAAATATGTGTGCTCAACCTGGAAATTCTTCTGTGTTATTTTGGAAATGAGATTTTAAGATTTGAAAACTTACTGAACATATTACCAAATAAATGGAAATTTACATACAAAAAAATCATTTAGATCCTTATTTGTCCTTAAAGACATATTGGAAGACTATTCCCTAGGACTCAGCAGGCACTGATGGATATCCAACTGAGCACATGTGGAAATGTTGTAAATGGAATCAGTCATACAGGGAAATCATTTAAGATTTTAGCTGCATTGGGGAAATCATACAGAATTTTCACTGTATTAGTTAGATGGCATCTTCCAAAGTTAAGATTTAATTTTTATTTTAAATAGTTAATATTATTCAGGTCAAGAAAAGATTACTGAATCTCAAAACCCTTTCTGCTGGAGGGACTACTGTAAAATTGCATCAACTCATTAACCTAAATTCTAATTGGCATTTTCCCAACTTGGACTTACCACTGCCACTGCATTTGAAAGCAACAGCTCTTCAGCACTAATGGTTGTAAAGTAGGCCACATTTGTTAACACATAGCCAGTGGTGACAATAGCCATTGATATACATATGGCAAGGGGGATGGTTCTGAAATGCACAAAGGAAGCACTTATTAGTCATCTTTTGTTAGTTATTTTCCCAAACCAAGTAATATAAAAGGTAATTCAAATTAATAATATAACAGGATCTATGATAATTACAGGCTTTGTTCTGTACACAGAGAAGTTTCATCCCAGTGAAGCAGCAAGTATTCCTCTGTGATTTAATAAGGTTCATGGAGGCAGATACTGATCCCATCTTTTCCCTAGATTCTATGGAACTATCCCATCCTTGTGCTCAATAAATGTTTTAACATTGTTTCTCAAGCCTTTGCTTGCATTAGGATCATTTGGAAGGCTTAGCAAAACATAGATTGTTGACCCCTACCTCAGGTTCAGCAGGATTTGCATTTTTATCAAGTTCCTGGAGAGCCCTTTGCTGCTGGCCAAGCACTACATTTTGAGAACCACTGTCCCATATAATACCTCAATGCCTTGACGTCCTCTAATAAGAGGCCTGAAAATGTCTTTCACCTATAGTGGCTGCCCCTGCAGTGGCTCTCCTTGTCAGCAAATAACTGCAGACCTTTGGAAGCATTGAGAGCAGAATGTATCTACTTTTTCTAAATGGCAGTAATAATAATTTTGTATATAATACAAAAAGCACAGACGTGCTCAGTAATGACTCTGCACTGTCCTGCTGTGAGTTCAAAGGAGGCTCAAGATCATGAGTCCCCTAATAAAGTAACGGAGCAGATAATCCCATGAAATTAAAGGTGACATGCTGTGAAGTACAGACAACTGGACAGTGCTGACACTATGTGGCATCAAGAAGTACCAGACACAAATCCAATGTTATGTCTTCATTTAATGTGCTAAGAAAGCCAGGAAGCTACTGACCCTAATAATTTGATTCCATGTTACTGATACACATTACTTGCTTAACATAATCACCTCTTCAGACTCTTTCCAGTTCAGGCAACTTAAACTTTCAGCTCCCTGCACAAAGGCTGAAGGGGTTTGTAGCCACAGTGCTTATCAGCCCTCATGGAGCCTTAGCCCTGCTGGGTGCCACTAATGAAGACTTCAATATAATTTCTCCAAGATGGAAATGCAGTTCAGATGTAGGGTAAAAAAGAAAAAGGAAAAAAAAGCATAGGCTGCCTCACTACCCAAGCTGAGTATGTTTAGCACACTAAGTCCCAGCTCATTATGCTGAACAGCAATATCCCCTGTTGAGAATAGGCAAGCCTAGCCAGTCAGCAACTGCCATTCTTTATGCTGCTTGGAGGCTGACACTCTCCTGATCCCCAAAGCCTTAAGCCTTCATGGAGAAACACACTGACCTCTAAATCCTGGCATCCTAATATGAAAGTGGCAGATGTTTTTACTTCCCTTGTGTGAGGAAGGTCCTGTGGAAGTCTGTTAATATCACGGCATGAATTCCTAGTTGCAAGATTGATGAATGCTGAATTTAAATAAAGGAAACCCCTGGACCAATTAAGCACCAAGGAATGAAGACTATTAAGCAAATTAAAGATAGATTCTGTTTCTTTGTAAGAAAGCCTATGTGTAAACACAGCATAAGAGTGCATTAATGCATGCAGTATTTTTATGAATGCAATGGGTACACAATACATTTTTGCACACTATCAAACTCCTGAATATTATTTTAGTAAACATGCTATAGTAATATTTTTCACATGCACTGATTTCAAATTGGACCTTTTCCCCCTGGCCAATAGATTTCTATGTCGCCAAATTGGAACTGACCCTTATCTGACCCTCCAGCAGGTTTTCAGAGGCAGTAAATCACACAGGAGGAGACTGCCCATCCTTCTCTCACAGAGTAGCTTGTGTATTTAACTATGCAACTGCGTGCCTTTGGGACTGGAGTACGGTTTCTTACCACTAGGCCACCAGAGCTCCCATGACAGATTTAATATTACTGGAATAAAATTCATTAATTTTCCTAAAGCAATGAACACAACAGTAAACTGGGCAAGATTGTGATGGAAATGGCACATCAAGTTGAAATCTACAAATATGAATCCATAAAAGGCTAGAAATTGGTGAGAAATAAATTATAGTATGTCTAAAAACTATAAAAACAAGATGCTTATACTTCTTTGTTTATTTGAATCCAAAAACAAAATGTAATTTTGAATTTCAAATAATCGTCTTGCAATCACTGAACAGAAGTCACCCGAAGAGATCATGCTTCCATCTTAAAACTTTTTTAGTTTATTCATTCATTATAATCATCATTATCATCTAACTCTCAGAACCCCTCAAAGCCTCGTCCCCTGCCCTTATCATCATTGAAATATCTCAGAATTCGCTACAGGTTTTCTGTGACTTCTGACTGATGGCATCATCACTGTCTTTGGTATCTTCATCTGCTTCATTGGTATTGGCTGGCATCTAATGCTAGCCTTCCTGAAGTCAGTGTGGTTGGTTTCTGAAGTTATTTCCCCCTAGGCAGCAGCCATTTATTTACACATATCTGTTAAGGCAAGCTTCTTCCATTTCTGATGTCATGAGGACTTAAGTCTCAGACTGTATGTCTATTCATCCAACATTATTTTCATAAAAGTCTTGAATAGATGGTTGATCACTATTATGTATTGGTTATAAGTTGCATGTAAGGTCACAAAGTATAACCAGCAGCTGTTGTTATGTGCCATAACATTGACTACAACTCTTAGAGACTTTGTTCTATTCTAAGCCAATCTCACTGTCTCTGATAACACTTACCCTCATTACCCCAATTACTGTGTAAATCCATCTCATCCAGGGTCGTCCTCTCCTGCACTGTCCCTTTACCCTTCTAAGCATGATATCCTTCACCAAGGACTAGTCCTTCCTGGAAACATGTCCAAAATATGTGAGACAGAGCTTCAAAATACTTGCCTCCAAGGCACAGCTTGGTTTCATCCTCTCCAAGACAGACCTAGCAGTTCTCTTGGCAATTCATCATATGTTCAATACTCTTCTCCAGCACCATGACTTAAAGGTATGAATTATTTTTCTATCATCTTTGATCATTGTCCAGCTCTCTGATGCATAGCAAATAATTGTGAAAGACATGGCCTGGATCAGTGGCACCTTGGTCTCTAGACAGATATCATTGCCCAGGGAGAGGACCCTGAGAGCAGATTTTCTTAATGCAATTCATCTTTTGATTTCCTGATTGCTAGTGCCAGAAATGTTGATTGTGGAACTGAGCAAGCCAGTTGGGTTAATATAATTTTGAATATTTTACTTTATGAGCAAAAGGTCTCTTTACTTGGTCCTATAACATTTTTCTATTCACACTTTCTTAATATCACAGACTTTCCATTCTTTTTTGTTACAATGAACTATGTTGGTCGGCAGTTTTTAAAGTGGCGTGGAAACTCATTTGAAAATCACCACCTACTTTCATTTCATCCTAGTTTGAAGTTGTCAACAACTTCGTTCTGCAAAATTGTCATCCTACATGGATCTACAATCCACACTCATGGTAACCACAGTCAGAAGTAAAGAGCAATGATTTCAATATAAAGACTAATATGTGCCTCATCCAAGCCATGGCATTGTCAATTGCTTTCCAAACATTTGGAAAAGTTGAAAAGTGAATAAGGATGACAGAAGAGCAGATGCCATTGAAGTGTGGTGTTGGAGGAGTACAGAATATTCCATGGACTATCAAAAGAATAAACAAGTCTGTTGTAGAGGAAATGTCAACAAGGATGCTCTTTGCAAGCAAGGATGGTGAAACTTCATCTCAAGTACTTCAGAGACACTGTTTAAAAAATGCCAGTCTTTGGGGGAAAAATCATCATAATGAAAAAGGTGAGATGTTAGAAGACAAGAGAAAGACACTCAAGAAGATGATTGACCACATTGGCCATAACAATGAGCTTGAGCACATGAAAGATCACAAGAATGGTGCATGATAGTGCAAAACCCAGACTTGTTTATAGGTGACTCCACAGCATATATAACAACAACAATGGTAGGCCTAATGGGTAAAGAGTTTTGCTACTAGTCCAAAAAATGGGTCCTCTCTGACAGTTTTGAACTCACCAGCTACTCTGCAGGAAAAAGAAGGGCAATTGCTGCCCACAAGATTTACAGTGTCTGGAAACCCAAGGGAAAGGTCATCTGTGGTTCTGACTGATTAGCACTGAGTTTCAGTTTGAGAATTTTTTGAGCAGTGCAAACAACAAAGAAACAAGGTCTCTCATACCCAGTGACTGTACTTGTAATAATTTTTCATACGTAAAACTACAGTTCTGGTGGCTAGACTGTCAAAAGGCAATGAGAACTCATTCATATTCATTACACTCATTGCAGAGATAGCACGTTCACATGTTTCCTTAGAGATGAATTCATGGAAGTTGGCGATCTTTTGTTCCTGGTCATCAGAAGCTGCTGGCTGTTCCTACTCATGATTTAGAAATCCTGATAAAACCTGCCTTGAAATCTGAGATTCCTCTTTCATTTGCTGGAAGCTTCCTTTGATCTGAATTGTGACAGTAGAGACAGCTTGATTTTGTTCCTTTCGAGAAAATAATCCACGCTTTCAAGCCTTTGAAGTTGGTAGTGTAGGATTTATATTTAATTCCTAAAGGGTCCTAAGATTTAGATTTATAAATTGAAAAAAAAATGTGCACAAGATAATCGATAACTGACTGGGTCTAGTAAAAAGGACACAAAATTCAAAAGTGAAATCTACAAGTAGATAAGATTTTTTTCCTGGTTTGGTTAGGATATTTTTATACATTTCTAAGCATATGACTAAGGCAATTCAGAATCACTGGTCAAAGACAGAGACTATGAAATAAGTAGAATTAACAAAGCTTAATGATTTAACTTAAAATAATGTTATTGGGTTTTTCTTTTTAACTATTGAGTAAAATCAAAATTGTACCAGTTTTGCTTTGTTTAAAATTAAAAGTCAGAGTCAGAAGACCACTGTGATAATTATGTCAATGCATAATGAATCAAGATTCCTATTGAACGTTACTGGAAGCCGGCTGTGCTAGTGCAGGCTTCATTTGG